AATATATCAATTACCCCGATTGAATGCTCCATCATCTGCTCCCGAGAACTCGCAAATCTCTACTTCGTTCCAATGGTAGAAGGATTTGAACGAGCAGCCATATCGACACATGGCAAAGTTCAAATCAGTTCAGAAGACTATTTGGTCATGCAGGTAGAAGGACAGGGCCTTGATGCCGGCCAACGTGTGGTAGAACTCACCAGTCCTCTTGCAATGGCCGGGATGTAAGTTGATGTCCAACCGCTCCCCTGTATCATAGACGTGCTGACGTGAAAAGATCCATATTCTTCATATCAACGTATTTCTCCGACTATATTATTGTCCCCAAACACTCAAAGCAACAAGTCACAGAGACCTTCGTTGAGAGAGGGTTTAACGTTGAAGAAGGGCCAGTAGATCCTGATAGTAGACGTGGCTCATCCCCAAATATCCACCTCCCCAACTCCAGGCCAGATACTCCACCCCCATGCAGCGTATCAGAGCTTCAGTTACGGGCCTTTAAAACGCTCCAGCAACACAAAGTTCGACCGCAGGCTGATCGATCCCTGCGTCTGGTTCAGTGTGCGGCACATTATAGAGAATACACGGGGACAAAATCTTACTCTATTCTCCGTCCGAACTTGATATCCGCCCTCCTGAACGACAACCCGCAATTCTTCTCCCTGACAATAGCAGCCACAGATCCCGCTCCGTCGCTGCTCCTGGAAGAGCGGCTGTTGCCTCGATTCTCTCTTCCGAGTGACCCAGATAGAGAGCCGTCGTCACCAGTGGAGGAAGACACAAATCTATTGCTAGGTTCAAAGGACGAAATCCTAATTGCTATCACTCTCGACTTGCGGGAGCTGCCCCTCGAAGCTGCTGGTATTGTTTCGGGTGTAGCAAGCGCACTGGTTGCAGGTACACGTCGGGAAGGCAACGGTAACAACAAAGTAAGTAAAATATCATGGACATATTTACCACTAAACTCAAGCTGACCGGCAGCAGGACCTAGAAACCAGTTTTCTTAGTACATCCCGTGCTGGGAATGTTATTGTCCGGGAGGAAGAGCTTGAGTTAGCAATGGAGTGTTTGGAGTCAGAATTTTAACATTGCATTATATACTGAGCGTTTTTATCTGGGAGGTTTCATGATGATTTAAAACACCAAGCGCAACAATCAGACCTAAAACCTAGCTCAGGGGTTAGAGCTAGACGAGTGCAGAGATCATGTATATAAAAACAATGCTCCTCTCTTGAATATTCGTTGATTTAGGATATTTTCGGCAGTGAGGTACCAAGCTATCCATATACCTTGACAGTTCCTGCAAAAATCAATTAGCAAAATACTTTAATCCATAGAGCAACTGTACACTCCGAACATACCGTCGGAACAGCCCGCAGCCCAGGATGAGCCTTTCTCATTCCATGCAACGCAGCTGGCAACCTTGATATTAGTGCCCACCGGCACAGTCCGAATAACATTACCAGTCAAGACATCCCATGCAAAGATTGTTGCCGGGGTAGAGTCTCCGCTGGACCTTGTTTCTGGGGTCTCGCTGCCACTCAGAACTACACTATCTCCCTTAGCAAAGGTAGACCGAATTCGTAAGTCCTTATTAAAGTATATAGGACCACGATTCTCCTCAGACGGATCAGGATTCCCATCACCGAAACTTTTGAGAACCGCACCATCGTCACGATCGACCATCCGTATTCGTCCATCAAGACATGAGGCAAGCATAGCTTTCCCATCCGCAGAGCAATGTATGCTTGTAACAGGATGGGCCATGACATCCACCTTCATCTCGCCAACTCTTAAATCATATGTGCGGATACGACCGTCGTAGCTGGCTGTGATTATACTGCTGGTCAACATATGGACATATACCGAAGAAACCGTATCGGTGGCTTCAGTAAGTGTCTGTATTGGTCTCGATGTTAGGGACCGTGTATCCCATATCTTCACATCCGAATCAGCACTTCCTGTTCCATGGTAAGGCGCATATTAGCTCAAGAGTTCACGTAAGACGGAGATATGTCTGGGGCGAAGCTCACCAGATATTACTACTGAATCGCCCTCTCCTCCAAATGCAACAGCTTCAACTCGTCCGGCATGGCCACTCCATCTTCTTATAGTACTCCCTGTCTCCACGTCCCATAAGAAGACCTGTTTGTCTCCTCCTACACTGGCAAAGCGCGCATTATCTGCACTAACTGTTATGTCTAGCACTGAGTATCCGTGTGCTTCGTATCGTTGGATAGGTGAGGTTGTTATCTGAGGTGATGAGGGAGAAGACTGTGGCAGAGCGCGAGATAGATGAATAGACCTGTCCGAGGATCCAGTCAAAAGATATGTTCCTGGCGAACTGGAGAAGGTAACGGCATTCACAGGGCCTAGGTGAGGCAGGTTAGTATATGATCCACCTGTGGCCTTGCAAAAGGCGCAGAATGTCACAACACCACTCTTGTAGCTTAGCAGTCGCTTAAGATATTTCCGTACCACTATGAGTTCTAAGAGTATGAAGAAGAGTTGAAGGGAATTTCGTGGACGTCGACATTTGTCCACCTGTGTATGGTGGTTGGTAGGCGTTGGGAGATGTTCTTGTTATCCTGTTACTGGGCGAGGGGAGAAATGGTCGGTTTAGTCAGGCTCAACGCTTTAGCTCACTACCTGGGTACATGGAGAGATTAAAGTAATTATAGCAACAACATATCTGTGGAGTCGATAAAGTCAATTGTTGGAATTAAGATATTTAAAACTTATAGCAAGAAAAACATGATCTTGGAATGAAGAAGGGTAAAGAAACACATTAGGGTGAAAATGGGTTGGCAAGAATCGCTGGCTCCGGGAAATATAAAAGGGGAAGACGGGTATACAACGACCCAGAAACCACTACATTGCCTGTCGAGCATCGACCGTCCAAAGTAGAATCAAGCTTGGGAGCAGACAGAGAGTTCCTAGAAGGGAAGAAGCCATCCACCCGTATCTCACTAAACCATAGCGGTCATTTAACGGCGACCATGACTGCGAACTTGAGGAGCCTGCATCTGGTCGAGTTCCTGCTCGAGTTGTTTGATCCTAATTGAAAGTCAGCTGTGCATCTAGTAAAGCCGGGCTTGGGTAGAACTAACGCTGCGTGGGTGGTTTCCAAGTCCTTGTTGAGTCGGTCTCTCTCGGCGATGAGTTTCTGCTCCCACTGTCTAAATCGTTGTTCCTCGATCTTGACTTGTTCGGTGAATCTCTTTCGTAGGTTCTCCTCCTCTTCCTTGAACTTGGGGTTGTCGAGCTTTCTTGGTCGGGCCTCTCCGAACTTTCTGGTCTCCATCTGAAGTGCTCGGTAGGCTTCGTAGTGCTGCTCTTCAGTGGTGTGGATGAGATCAAGCATGTGTGTTCGGATGAGAATAGAGCGGAGTTTCTTGAAGTCACAGTGATCTTCATTCTCAACTTCGGCGACACCCCAGGAGTACTGGCGACCCTTAACGATGTGGCCATCACTAGTCTTAACGTCTTTTTCGGAACCAATGACGGAGAATGGCATAACAGCCATCAAGCTGCGGGCATGCTGGGCGGCTTGCTCGTCGTCTTCTTCGACCGGAGGCTGGTAGATCTTGATACCCTGAGCTTCAATGACAGCGCGGATCTGTTACACAAAACTGTCAGCTGGAGAAATTTTCAACATCAGGGGGCGCATTGAGCAGTAGGAAATGATGATGTACTCACTCTCTGCTTGAAACGGGCAAGATCAGAAGGGCTTAGGGTATCGGCCTTCGCGACGACTGGAATCAAGTTCACGCGCGAGCTGAGACGCTTCATAACCTCGATATCTAGTGGTTTGAGGGTGTGGCCCGTTGGGCGGATAAAGTACAGGCAAGCGTGGACACGGAGATCGATCTTGTCAATACGGCGTGGCTGTTGCTCTTGCAACATATAGGACTCGTGCTGGTCATCCAAAAATTCGATAATGGGCATCCATGAATCACGGTTGTTGACGTAGTCGCCGAAGCCAGGAGTATCGATAACGGTCAGCCGAACTGTAGAAAGAACGGATTAGCTTCGACCCTATATTAGATATGCCAGCCCTCAAACCGCATGTATACCTTTGAAGAATCGTTCCTCGAGCTCAGCCTTTGTGATCTCGATCTCAACGGTCTTGTCGACCTGCTTAGCGTGTCTGCGTTTATGGTCTGCATAGTTCTTGATCGTGGTCGAGAAAAGAGTGTTGATGAATGTGGTTTTGCCCAATCCGGACTCTCCAGCAACCTATATTGTACCCATCAGTCAACAGGTCCTCTTGGGTTTCGGTACAGATCCTTCGGAGTAAAAGGGGGGGGTGGAAGAGATAAGTCGAACCATAATCGTGAAGGCGGCACCCCGTTTCGCGACAATCTTGTGTCTGTTGAATCCAAGTCAGTCGATGCTCTCCATGCTTGGAGAAAGAGGCCTCTGTAGTCTCATACCGTTGGTTGGGCAACTATGCGAATGGTCAGCTATATTTGATCCATGCTCCTTACCAGCGAGTTGCGGGAAAACTTACATTGGCGATGCCAATTGGCGAAGCGGTCTCGGATGTAGTCGACGCCATTGCGAGGGTAGTGAGGCAGTTCAACCGCAGGGAGGAGATACGGCAAAGGGCGAGGGAGCGTGAGGAGTGTCAAGAGAGAATGAAAGGTGAGGTTGTTGCTTTGAGCCGCCGTCGCTTTTTTTTTCTGTTTGCTTTGCGTTGAACTTCCTTCTTTCCCCTTCTGCCCCTGAGTTGAGACTTACTAATTTGGACAAGGGGGTGAAAAAAAAGGGCCCCGACTTTGCGCTAGGCCAGAAGGGGAATAGCGTGTCAGTTTCCCCTTTGGGCGCGGATTATCTCAGCCTCCGAGATCCGGTTATCTTGATTACATAATATATCAAAAAGATTAAGCGGCAGCAAAAAGAAAAGAAGAGCAGGAAGAAAGAGGCAGGGCAGTTGAAAAAGAGGAAAAAGGTCGACGAAGCTGTGCGCCGGCGAGGATACGCTTATACCGGAGACGATGAAGACGGATTTCAAGGTGAGCAGACTCTGCGCCGTCACTGCCTGTAGTAGCTTGCTGATTTCACGCCAGTTTTCAAATCTTCTCGGGACCGTCTATCGCAAAGGGAATCTCTTGTTCACTCCCGACGGCTCCTGTCTGCTCTCTCCGGTCGGGAACCGAGTCTCTGTCTTTGACCTGGTCCAGTAAGTGATGAAGCTGCAGTGCCCAATTGATTCTGTGGTTGTCTGGTTAGCTAATATATAGACTTAGAAACACCTCCTATACCCTCCCGTTCGCACACCGGACAAATATTGCCCGCATTGATTTATCTCCCAGAGGCAACCTCCTGCTCTCAATCGACGAGAATGGCAGAGCTATATTGACCAATTTCCCGCGACGACTGCCCATCCATTATTTTACGTTCAAATCCGCTGTCAGCGCGCTCTCGTTTTCACCCTCTGGTCGTCATTTTGCCGTGGGGGTCGGCCGGAGGCTGCAGATATGGTGCACACCGTCTACTCCAGGCTCTGGCACCAGCGGTGAGCTAGAGTTTGCTCCTTTTGTGCTTCACCGAGATCTAGCCGGCCATTTCGACACAATACAAAACATTCATTGGTCCAGCGATTCAAGATTCTTGTTGACTGCTTCGAAAGATCTAACTGCGAGGATATGGAGTGTGGATCCGGAGGAGGGATTTGAACCAACAACTTTGGCTGGACACCGTGATGGGGTTATTAATGCCTGGTTTTCCCATGACCAGGAGTCTGTGAGTAATATTGGAGAGATATTCAACCAAAGCTACTAAGAAACTAATGCTCGAATCAGATATATACCATTAGCAAGGACGGTGCTCTGTTCCGCTGGGGTTATGTATCGAGAATGAAAGAGGATGGTAGCAGTACTGACGAGCGGTGGAGAATTGTCAAAAAGGATTACTTTTTGCAAAGCGGCTCCAAAGTAAACTGTGCTGCTTTCCACGCAAAAGCTAACATTCTAGTTGTTGGTTTCTCCAATGGAATATTTGGCCTATGGGAAATGCCTAGCTTCAGCCAACTCCACTTATTAAGGTACGTGTACATTTGTTCTTAACATCACTCCCAACCTAACAGTTTATAGTGTCTCTCAAAGCAACATTGATTGCGTTACTATCAATAGCTCCAGCGAATGGCTCGCGTTTGGCTCGTCAAAACTCGGTCAGCTGCTTGTATGGGAGTGGCAATCAGAGTCTTATATTTTGAAACAACAGGGCCATCTAGATTCCATGAATGCCCTGGTTTACTCCCCTGACGGCCGAAAGATCATTACTGCGGCTGACGATGGCAAAATTAAGGTCTGGGATATCAAAACTGGATTTTGCATTGTTACTTTCACCGAACATAAGAGTGGTGTTACAGCATGTGAATTCACGAAACGTGGAAATGTGCTCTTCACAGCGTCCCTGGACGGTTCAGTACGAGCATGGGATCTTGTACGATATAGGAATTTCAAGACCTTTACTGCCCCTTCACGGTTATCCTTTTCTTCCTTGGCAGTCGACCCAAGTGGTGAAATTGTATGCGCCGGATCCTTGGACTCATTCGACATTCATATTTGGTCTGTACAGACTGGTCAGCTCCTCGATCAACTATCGGGGCATGAAGGACCAGTATCGTCATTATCCTTCTCGGCAGATGGAAGCCATGTTGTCAGCGCCAGCTGGGATCGTACAGTCAGGATATGGAGTATTTTTGGGAGGAGCCAGACCAGTGAACCGCTACAGCTACAGTCAGACGTCCTATGTGTAGCGTTCAGACCAGATGGAAAGCAGATTGCAGCGTCGACACTTGATGGTCAGTTAACGTTCTGGTCCGTCGAAGATGCTGTACAGCAGTCGGGTATTGATGGTCGCCGCGACGTGTCTGGTGGCAGAAAGATAACCGACAGACGCACCGCCGCAAATTCTGCTGGCACAAAATCATTTTCAACTATAACCTACAGCGGCGACGGTACATGTCTCTTAGCTGGTGGGAACAGTAAATATATCTGCCTCTACGACGTTGGCACAAGTTCTTTGATCAGAAAATTCACAGTGTCACTCAACACATCATTGGATGGAACTCAAGAGTTTCTAAACAGTCGAAACATGACCGAAGCCGGACCTCAGGGGTTAATTGACGAAACTGGCGAGGCATCTGACATTGAGGACCGAAAAGATAAGACATTACCAGGGGCTCGTCGTGGAGATGATGGAGCGAGAACAACTCGCCCTGAAGTCCGCGTCACATCGGTATCATTTTCACCCACTGGGAGATCATTCTGCGCCGCTTCGACGGAGGGTCTGCTGATATATAGCCTTGACGATGACGTGGTCTTCGATCCGTTCGACCTGGATATTTCTATTACACCAGACAGTATCATGGCCACTGTTGCAGCAGCTAAGAAGGCGGCTTTATCCCAACCCTCCGACTTTTCATCAGAAACTACCACATCTGACTCTTCATTCCTCAAAGCCATCATCATGGCATTCCGCCTCAATGAATCAGAGCTCATCAGAACAGTTTACGAATCTATACCTCCTTCTGAGATACCCCATATTGTCCGTTCAATTCCCACAGTATATGTAACCCGTCTACTCCGTTTCGTTGCCAATGCAGCCGATGAAACTCCCCATTTGGAATTCAACTTACTTTGGATTCAAGCATTGTTAAGCATAAGAGGACGCTACATTAAGAATAACGCAGCCTCTTTTGCTGCTGAGCTAAGATCTGTTCAGCGAGCCATTGATGGCATTCGAAATGACTTGAAAAGACTTGCAGAAAAGAACTCATATACTTTGGAATACTTTCTTTCAAAGCCCGCCTATGCACCCGGAGCCAAGAACATTACTTCTAACGAATCGAACAGGTTGCTTCTGGAGAATCCTAAGGAAGAAAACACTTCCATGGAAGAGCAGGGTGAAGAGGAAGCTAATGATAGTGATGGGGATTGGATCGGATTGGAATAAAAGGCTAGACACTTTTTCTTGTCTTGATGGTTCCCGAGCGCTGCCACGCATATGTTATTTGGTTCCCGTGCTACGAGTATATAGACCTGGCTCTGTTTGTCTTTGGGCGAAATGGTGTTTTGTGTATCAAAAGCATTCTGTAATATCCTAGTATGTTTTCAGCTTTCAGCAATGTATTAGATTTGTGCTAGAGGCTTATTTAAGTGGAAGAGGCGGACGATAATATATTGGTAGATGATACATAAAGCAATGGGTATTAAAGTGTGCCCTTGGCTGGCACGTAAATAACGGGAATCCAATGCATACCGGGTGAAGAAGAAACGACTACCTAAAGCCAAAATACGCCTATAAAAGATGCCGAGTCATGACTTGGACGCATACTTGAGGTATGCTGATGAATATTCGAGATGGTGCGTTAATCGTAGCTGGGTTATCTCCTTCGATGGCGGTCATCGTCTTCATCGTCATCTACTCGCGCTCGTTTTGAGCCTCTCTGACTGGATTCCGCCTCCTGGATACCATATCTTTTCTGCCCACCGGAAGATTGACCACCAGTAACTTCGGCAATCATTCCGTCGATGCCAAAGGGATCCGCGGTATCTTTTTCAAACTCCACAGGACCTTCGCGAGCCTGGCGTTGAAAATGAAACATATTAGTCCTGCTCCAATAACCCAACCTTGGTTCGCAAGAACTTACCTCAGCGTCCTCAGTTCCTTTGAACCCTTCCTTAGCACGCCCTAGGACCTCAAAGCGATTGCCTCTGTTTATTCGATCCATTTCTGCTCCTCCAGCATTCTCATCATCATCATCCATTTGAGCACGAGGACGGTATATACTGTTAATGGCGTCCTGGGCAGCAAAAAGAGGCTTATCATAGGGTTGATCCTCATTGAAACCACTCTGCAATCCACTGGTCTGGTTGAAAAGTCGAGAATCGTACATGGTTTCCTTGCTCTGTGTCGGTTTTGCCAATCCCAAAGCAATCTTTTCGGAAATATCTCGATTCTGTTCCCGGGCCATAACTTGAACACGGCGCTCGGCGCCCATTCTAGACTGACGTAGTTTTCTTTCATCTTCCTGGCGTCGTTCGCGGCGTCTCCTCTCACGTTCTCGGACAGCTTCGTCTTCCTCGTCTGGAGTAGGTGATCTAGAAGAATATGGGGAAGGGCTTCTACTGCCACTGCGGGATCTGGATCTGGCACGGGATTCATTACGACTGCTAGAAGCTCCAGCTCTTGCCTCTCTTGCCTTTTGGGCAAGCTGCCGTAGATGCTCTTCCTTCTTGGCTTTTTCCTTCTCAGCCAACTTTTGTTGCATCTGTGCTCGTTGCTTTACTTCCTCTCGAGCGTGTCGATCAGCAGTGAACAACGCTTCTGCGAATTGAGCAAATTTATCGTTGATCGAAACATCTTGTAACCCTCTACCATCAGCAGCCAATCGCTTATCAAGGGGAACCGTGTAGCCCTTTGGATTTTTCCAATTTGATACCGGTGGGGGAATCCTCCACGCTTCCTGGTCTTCAGCAGTGAGTTTTCTTGGAGGAGAATGTAAAACGGGCGGAGGTGGTGACGGAGGGCCCCGTGGGATTTTCTTATGTTTAAATTTCGGAGGCTCAAGAGGATCAACCTGCTTTTCCACAATTTTCATAATCCGATCATTTTTGCGGTTGGTATTGCCCATCTGGTTTGCAGGGGTATATCGAACAAATGTAGGTTCGCTCCTCTTGCCTGTGGCGACGTTCTTCGGTTTCTGGGCCGAAACTGCTCCGGTAACCAATTTCTCAAGGGCAGCCTTCGTCTTTTCCATCTGCGCATTGACTTCTTCTTGTGAAGGCCTGTCCAGAGAAATCTCCCCCATGTCCACTCTTTGCCGTAACGGGATCAAATCCTTAAACGATGCGTGTACGATTCTGTTCTCGTTATGGCCCTGCTTTGCTATGGAGTCATACTTGACTTTACCCTCAGCATCGACTTGCAGGGCTAGAGCATTCGACTTATTTGCAGCATCCTTGCGGCCCATATCGAGGGGATACTGGGCAACAGCAATCTCAGGGAATGCGCCGCCGTCTCCAAAATCTTCCAGCGACCGCGGTCTCCATCCTACGCGTTTTCCATACGGTGGCGGGCCAGCCCTCTGCAAGAATAAGACTCCATTAGAGACGAACGAAGAACAGAGGGAGCCAAAGCCCATGAAAAAGCATGAAACAAAACCACTTACCTTCACCACTATTTGAGTCTCATCAATGGCATCAGCACCTACTACCCTTGGTCCGCGTCGTTGAGCGTGTGCTGGAAGCTCCTCATTTTCACCTGTGTATTTTGGCGCTGGGAGTGACTTGAATAGCCCTTCGCTAAGGGAGGCCATTGTCTTATAATATCAAACCCAGAATCAACTTGAACAAAGATAAAATAATATCCGATATCAAGCTTGATATTTGTTTCTTCTATTCTTCCAACTAGGTATCATCATTTTGAAGCTTTTCCATCATGAGCGCCGTCGGAAAAACTCCTGCTGACTCATCCAGGCGGAATATACTTATGCCGTGTAAATATATTACGTAATAACTTTACTTCCAACGTTCAATATCAAATTTGGTACCAAAGCAGTCGCTGATGACGGGTTGAACAGTTGAATAAGTGATATACCATTAATTTGAGAAGCAATAGTATACTGCGAGGTGTCTACATTTTTTTTCATCCTGTTGTTGTTATACCATTTTATCTGGTTACCCGGCTTAATTCGTGAAAAGTTTAGAATACTCGTGGGTTGTGTTATTCACATTAATAAAGGAAGCCTGCCACATGATGTCCGATCAGAGCTGCTGTGTGACTCGAGCTCGAGCAAGGCTGTGTTTGGAAAGAAAAAGACAAAGACCCATTTAAACCGTCCAGAAGATATTGAAATGTCACCGCGTAATCTCTCTCACCGCTCCCTGATCTAGTGACAAAATTTGCTCAACTCCATGCTCTCCTAGTTTTGTGATTTATGACTCAAGGAAAGATTCGTTAACATAATTCGTGTCAGATGATTCACGCTGCTACCTGTATGGCGTATGAAACGGTGATGTATTAGCCAGGGACAGTCAGCTTTCATGAGACACTGCGGACCAACCTAGCTTATGAAAGAGCAAACCATCATGACTCATCGAAACAGCATTCAGGAAGCCTGGCGAATGAAATAAGGATAACCGGAAGATGAGTATGCCCAATATCCTGGTTGCAAGTTCTCCATAATGTCATTCGTGGTTCGAAGGGTGTAGGAGCCATCAACTTCGCGGCACCACCACTGTTGACCCTCAGCTGGGCGGTAAGGCACCATGCTCTGGGGCCTCATCGCGCCAGTGGCTCTGGCAACTGCAATGTTCTGCGCGTCAACTTCGGCGCGAGTCGGGCCAATCCAGGGAACTGTACCTGCTGGAACCTGGTAGGCCGGGCGAAGAGGTGCTGGGGAGATGTATGGCACCTGAATCGCTTGACCTGCTTGCTGTGATGGGAGTTAGTATGTTTATACTAGGAGGGAGATCAGAGACAAACACAACAGCTCAGGTTAGGTAGTGGAATGGTAGAGTGAAGGGGCAACAATGAAAAGATCAAAATACAATATGGGCATTTGAAATATGCTGGGTCAATCCAACCGGTCCGAATTGAATGGTTTGGGAGACAGAATGGGCTGTTCCGGGGGGGCCTCCATTAAGACAACCGTTTGGCAGGACAGTGGCCGAAGCTGCTGCTGGTGGTGGTGGTGGTGGCGGAGGAGGCCCAGTGGGATTGCTTGTGCCAACCTGGATATTTTGCTGCAGCTGAGGAGGCACATATGTGTAGACAGTGGGCTCATTTCCAGGTTGAACCTGCGGACAAGTTGAATATCTCGATCGGCTCGGATCTACAGAGCCATATTGAAAGAACTGGCCCATGGCGCCAGCAAAGGGATATGGATATGAAATGATCCCTGACTCGCTTTGTAGGTGATAGACAAGGACTTGAGATAGCCTCGCAGTATCAGAGGGAACAAGACGGCTGTTGTTGGCTGTGGATAGCAGAAGTGAAGGAGTAGCGAAGGAGAGAGGTGAAGAGGGAGAGAAGAAAACAGAGAAAGACGTGAGTTGAGACTTAGGCTGCAGGGCTTTTGCCTCGAATTATATCCTTTGCCTCAGTAGAATAAAAGGCGAGTGCACACACAGCTGGGAACTTACATTGACAGGGTAGAATCCATCTCCAGGCCGTACCATGTACCACTGCCTATTGGGCTTCTTCGCCTCTGGCTTGGGATCGTCCTCGACCACCAGGGCGCGGTAGGGAACACATCCGAAGCACATCCTGAGAGGACGAGTTGGGAGCTTATCACGGTGCAATATGAGAAAAGGAGCCTTGAGATGGCCAGATGAAGAATAAATTTGCAGAAAAAGAAGAAGAAGAAGAAGAAGAGATAAAAAAGGGAGAAGAAAGAAAAGGATGAAGAAAAAGGTCACCAAAAGATGTTTACATCCTCACCTTCAAGGCCTTACTCGGCGCAGAGCCCTAGCAAACTACAGGTGCAGTGAAGAAGGACATGCTCTACCAAGATGCTTGATATGCTGCTGTCTGTCTATTGTAGTGCCATCTACGTAACCATCAAAGATGAACAAAGCTGCTCTCGGGAACTTCCGTCAGTAACCAACTGACACTGTAGTGAGAGCCCTGTCATTGTAGTAGTGACACCATGACCCCCAGCAGGGCAGCCTCATTCTAACACTGCCTGATAAGCCTGGCTGAGCCTGCCGTGTACAAGCTTCATCTAGACCTTGGAGACAAGGGAGGCAAAGACGGAGCGGCTCATTGTATGTGTGTATTATGTGTGTCCTTGGGACAGAAAAGGGGGGGAGTATCTACATTTAGGTAATATAATTACAGCGGTGAGAAGAGAATAATTGGTATATTTCGCGTGGCAAACAAGGTATCAAACACACCAGGGCAGTGTCGCCCGACAAAGGGTAGTGCCAACAGGTCAGCCCTCATTCGAGGCTCTGGAATGCAATAAAGGAGATTGGTTGAGGGCCTGGAGGGAGGGCGAGAGATCCTGGTTTGGATGAAGCTATATCCCGCGGATTATAAGAATATAGCTATTGGATGCGAGCGGGCACCCAGGTACCAATAATAGCTGGTTAGTATATGTAAGTATATACATGGCAGTATGAAGAGTCCGGGATGTGGGTCTAGATGTGCAAGTCTCGGTTCAGATCATGATCAGGGAGGTTTAACAGGCGCTTTTTGTCCTACGCCCGCTGGGGCGCATGGTGGGATCCAACCGTGGAGCAATCACACTTGATAGCGATAATTGTATCCTGTGCGGAACGAAGATGATGAAGATGGCATTATCGCAACGGAACATGGTAATATCAAAGAATTCACCGGAGCACAAGCCCAGTTTATACCAGGTGTGACTGCATAGGGCATATCACATCTTCACCGTCTGGTATCTCAACGGAATGTTTCTTCCAGCCAAAGATGTACTGGATACGCAGTACCTTCGGCATAAATGGAGCAGGGTCACTGAAGCCGAGGATCTCGCTCTATATACCACCTGTTAGCTAGGTGCAAAGTTAGTCATGCCAGAACAGCACATACCTTGACAATACTACGTGGAATGTTCAGTTGTCCTTGATCAACAAGCGCCGCAACTGGAATGGTGACGTCAACCATACTTTCATTGGCTCGTGAGCCCGGCCTACTAATTTTGAATGTCGATTCAGGCGGTATATATCCATACTCGGCATGAAGAATCACCAGGCCGCCCCTTTGTTCTTCCATGTCCTGACGTCTGGTGACATGATCCTTCATCAACTCGATAGCTTCCAAGCTTTCCGCTCTCCGCTTAGCCATGAGTCTTTGTACTCTCCTTTGTTGCTTGGCGATTGCTTTCTTCTGCTTCCGTCTCTGCCGTGGGCGCCAGAATCCAAACTCCATAAGGGCGTATGTAAGCCACGGCACCATAACTGCCATGCTAGCAATATCTGTGTTCACCAATTCCAATGGACAGATTGCGATTGGAATGGTCAATTTTTGTCCTAATCGACTCCATGTAATTGAGCACACTAGTCCCATATTACCCTGCATCCCAATCCCGAGGCCCATGCGGGTGAAATTGCCAACCTTGCGGGAACCCGATATCATCCAACCTATGGAGAGGTCCATTGAAGTAGTTGCTGTGACCTCTAGTCGAACGGGTGGACTGTTAATAACCTCCTGTGGAGGAGTGTAACCTTCGTAGCTCCACTGGGATAAAGCAGGCTGTTCGGGTCGAGTTGTAAAAAGATCTTTCTCGTAATTGAGTGTCAGCAGTATGGATGTTGGCGACGAATGAAGCAAAAGACTCCAGGTCCCGCTGTTCTCTGCTTCTTCTTCATCTTCATCCATGTGCTCATCATCCGTCCCTCTAATCGACTTTTCCGAAAATATTTTGAGCCCTAGTTCAAATTTGCTGTCCACTAGAAAGACCAAGGCCTTATAATCACCATATATAAGGTTGATCATGGGCCCCAAGGTATTGGAGATAAAATTTGGCCAATTTAAGAATCCGCTGGACCAATTGCAAATCATAACTTTGCCCTGGCCCACTCGTCTCTGAACCAATACATGCAAATGAGGTGGGAAAAGCAGGGGTACGTGAATCATATTTGTGCGCACAGTGACATGGAAAGGATATGTCCCTGAGATGGGGGTGAGGAACTTCTGCACCGTTAAATTGAGTGAGGAAACGGGAAGTAGTGATGCTCCAACTTCGATTGATGAGTTGCCTAGGAATGGGAATAAGAGATGATTCAGTGAGGCATTCTTGATCTCATGGTCCTGTACGGCATGATGTACAGAAGCTCCTAGAGAAAAATTTTTGACCTGAAAAAAATGCGGCAATCCATGCTGTTGAAAGGTAAGATACTGGGTTTGATATTTGAAAGACCAAATTCCGGGTACATACCTCTATATCTCTGTCTTCACCAGTCCCAGGGAGAGGGCCGGCGTGCCTCATCCGGCGGAGATTTCCAGCTACGTTTGCATGAATTACCAGTTGCATGTCCTCCTCGTCATCTTCAGGGCCAGCGCTCTCTTTCTCCGCCGGTCCATCCTCGTCCTCATCATGGCTGTTTGACGGTTTGTATACAGGAATGGAAGGAAAAGGAATATTAAGCCTGAAGCCAAGGGCAAGACTGGACGGCATCAGTTTAGGATTCTTGACATATATTATATCTTCCGTTGTTTCGAACATTGTTGCATCGAAACCAAGTTGCATTTCTATCTACAGTTAGGCGTATTAGCATACAGTATTCCGTATACGGGATAGGTTGGCAGAAGTACCTTGTTCGAGACCATATCCTCCAATACAGAGCGTTCCTTTTCCTTCATTTTACGCACAAACCACCGACGGAATTGAGCCTGGTCCATAGCTTTGACGCCCAATTGCATGTTTTCAGCCTCACTGGATGCCCCCAGAACACCTCTCTGACCCCATTCTTTTTGTACGCCTTCCTCGCCCATCAATTCATAAACTACTCGCTTCTTCGGATCTATGAGGGTCTCGTAGGCAGTCTGTATCCTCCCGAAGTGCTTTCGGGCAACCTCTTGAAGGTGTGACGGGTGTTTGTCCGGATGGAAGCTCAATGTCAGGGTTCGGTAAGCAGAGCGAATCGCAGCACCGGTAGGAGGGGGATCGCGCGACAGCCCGAGAAGGGAGTAGTAATCTGTTGTATCAGCATAAGACGAGAGCAAGTCATACTCCCGTTCTATACTCTCCTCGTCGCCGGGAAGAGCTCGAGACCCTTCCCAGGCGCCGTTGTCAGCCATTCTGGTCAGTCGAATTGGGTGGTGGCAGCTCTCAACATCTAGAGGCCATGCAATCCCGATGGTATATATTTTTATGGCATAGCAATGGACACGAGTAATAATATTCTTCAAGGCCGGACAACCACCTGGAAGTCGTAAACACCGTGGTAAATTGACGATGAGCGTCACGTGGAACCCAATGATGGACCGGACTAAACCTTAACTCCGATGCTCGAATCTAGGTAGCCCCACAAGAGCCAGCAAAGACACAGGACAGCTGTGATATAATGTCAGTGACGAGTCCATAAACCGCATATACCGATTTCTTCCCCGAGCATACAAGATCCTACTTTGGTGGCCCATTTTGGCCTGTGAAAGACCGATTTTTTTTTTTCGAGAAGCCGGTGGGGGCCGTGCGCGCAACAGTCAAGGGAGAAATATTTATCCGTCCCGTCATAGAGTTATCAACATCACGTGAATTTTCAGCCTCATCTATTTCTAGCTAGCATTACTTAAACGACGAAGCAGACGACGGAAAGCAGAAGGATTTGCAGCCGTGCTCACTACTAAGAAGTGAAAGTACTAGTATGATGCTGCCTGGAGGGGTGACTGGGATGGTACTAGACATGGCCATGTTGGTGTCAGGTGGGTAGGAGTGTGGCATTTTGCCCATAGCCCCGGGTGAGACCACGGAGCAGTCCTCCTAGCTTTTTACTCTCTCCAGGACGATTTGACTCATTAACAGCTGCCTATACCATAAAGTTCTATCTTCAGAGGATACAGGGTATATAACCATTATATTCACAGGATGCCGTTTTGTCACTAGCCATCTCTCCATAATATGCTGTTCAACGCATGCCCAGCCTGAGAACACCGCCCTTTCAAGTCATGGCTCACCCCAGAGACCCAGGAGATATCCCCCCAACGTTCAGGATAGATCTTTCTCTCCCTCCTTCAGAAAGATACGTTGCCTTAGCTTCTTCGTATTGACAGAGACTAAGATCACTCATCGACATCTTTGAAGAGCTTGTCAGTTCCCTGGACAGCATCATCTCCCCAAAATGGGTCTACCGAGTCGCTCCTATTCTGCTGAGGAAACTATATACCCGCGAGGAGACGGAAGAGATTAAAGGAATATCCAGAGTTGCAGGCATAGATCTCTATATTCTTGTATCTCTAAACGTATTTCTCGATCTCCTTATGGGATGCACCAGCGGGGCTGCCTTGACCAAACAGCCACACGATATCGATGCCAAAATGCTTCACTTTCGTACTCTCGACTGGGATATGGATGAGCTCCGTCGGCTGATTGTGAATCTTGAGTACGTTCGCGGATCCGAGAGTAACACTGTTATTGCAACAAGTGTAACGTACGTGGGCTTTGTTGGAGTTCTAACAGGTGTGAGGAGAGGGCTAAGCATTTCATTGAATTTCCGTCCAAATCATAATCAAGGCAGGTTTTTGGCAAATTATCGGTTTTATGGGAGCCACCTACTCGTACTACTCGGTATGCGACGGTCAATATCATCACTGCTTCGAAAATACATCCTATCACCAGACCCAGATCATATTCAGAGCCAGTCCTGGCTTGATCGAATACTAAGGCGGAAGGAATCAAGGATCCCATCAAAAACAACTTTGGACTGGATAGCGGAAAATCTGCCCCGTGTACCCACAACTGCAGCTTACTTGGTTATGTGTGACGGGAACTCAGCGATCGTTTTTGAGAAAGATCACAGAAGTGCTGTTATCCAACGATCCTCATCATTCGTGGTTGCTACCAACAGTGATATAGCGAAAGTATCTCTGGCCGGTCAGAAAGAAGAAGCTGTTGAATATGACAAAGGCCATGATGACAGGATAATCGACGCCTCTAACGAACCTCTGGATTTAGATGATCTCATTTTCCTCAGCGGCGAACGAAGAGCTCACATGCAGGATGCGTGGAAGAAAAAGGTAAAAGAGAAGCAAGAGAAGCCGTCAACTTCTCACGATTATTCTACAGCCGAGCCCATTTTGAGCCAGCCAGGCTGCCAGTCGGGACCTACTATGGATTGCCGTCTTGATGTCTTACTTGATCTATGCGACAATAACCAAGTTACAGCAATGCCATCAGAAGTCACTGAATGGATAAATGGATACCCTGTTACAAATGAAATGACTCACTTTGCTGCTATCATGGACCCTACTTTGGGCCAAGTATCCTGGCTTAGACGGTACCTAGAGCCACCTACCCACAATAATAACAGCTGAAGCTGGACGCGCATTTTATTCTATTGAACATATCACTTCTTAGCTTTCAATATCACCGCTTATCTTTCAATTATGTTCTCTGTCTTTGAATTCAACTACTAATTGGACGAGCCCGAGTTCGCGACGTCATGATTGCATATTACATACGCTATTTAGAACCCATATAATTTGCAGAACGCACGAGTGTTATTATTACCCATCCCCCAATTTTTTTTTTCATCTAATTTCCTAATGTACACCAGGCCTCCCAGTACAGAAAAAAGAATCAAAGACTGAAACAGCTGTTGGTTCGACATTGCCACCCCCTTTTAAGATATAAATCGTAAACCCTATAAGTAAAACCGAAGATAAATCTCAATCGACCATCTCAACTAACTAGTCTCTCTGCGGCATTGGGGATAATTATGCATCATCGTTGAAAAAGGCACATTAGAGTAGGCTGTTGTAAAGGGGATTGTCAATTCTCTTTGTGTAGTAAACCCACTAGGTGGAGGCAATACCATCACTCTCTGGGTCGCTCCCGATGTGCTCATCAGCAGATGCAGGATTCACCTCATTATCAGATTCAGCGGCACTCTTATCAGATTGCTTACTAACAGCAGTGCTGGAAGTTGAAAGTGCTGGTGGTGGATGGCGGCGGCTCCTGGTGGCCATGAGGTTTTCACACCAAGCACCGACTTCTTCAACCGCAAGATGAGGCTCTCGTTTGCGCGTGAGAAGGAAACCTTGGATTTCTGCAGGAGAAAAAACATACTCTGGAAGCAGAGCTGAGAATGAGACCGCCAGTTCGTTGATATAGTCGATGGTAACCTGTTGGGTGGCGCTGATGACCCCGTTCGCATTTGTACACGGTTCCGCGCTCTTCTTTTCCTCAGATAAAGGCTGATGATCATGGGCGATGACAGGCTTCTCGACTTTGATGGTGTTGAATAGCTTGGTGTTGAGGATAGAAAGCGACCTCTCTATCTGAGATGTCGAGGCAGACTTTGCCTTGATACCGCCGGGTTGGTCGGGGGAATACATTCTAATAAAGATCTCTTTGATTTGCTCTCTATTGGCCAAGGTGAACTCAACCATCATATCAACCCTTCCGGGTCGAATGAGCGCATCGTCAAGTTTATCTGGGTGGTTTGTTGTCATAACAAGGACGCGTCCTTCGTGAGATGCCACGCCATCAATCGCATTTAGGAGACCAGATAGAGAAATACCCTTAGACTCTTCATCGCCATTACTTTTCTTCGTCTTTTTGGCGCGATTGGAAGGCTGCTGGACTGCCGTGTTCAGATTGGAGATGACGTTTTCAGTGGAATCGTTAGCTGCTTCAGTCGTTTCTGGAGAAGAGTCCCCGTTGGCTGCAGTACGTGACAGGCCGGCAGTATCAATATCCTCCAAGAGGACTACACAGCGTCTAGGCAACGAGTTGAAGAGTAAGCTTAAGTCTTCCTCTGTCAAGCTTGGCTCGAGAAGTGAGATGCAGTATATGTCCAGCCCAAATACACCAGCTATAGCGAAGCTCAGGGAAGTTTTTCCTGTTCCCGGTGGTCCGTGAAACAAATAGCCGCGACGATATGGTATTCCACGATTTGCATACCACCTTGGGGTAGCAGGATGAAGATATTCATTTATGTCCAGCAACAGTTTCGTTTTCTGAGCATTATCAAGGACGACGGTTTCAATTGGTCGAGAAGGACGAGTAGCAGCTCTGCTCCAGGCGTATATTCCTCGTGAACGAAATTCTTTGGGACCTGGCCGGCGGATGGTCGTCTTGCTTCTCTCGCGAGCAAAAGATGCGTCCCTCGCCTCCCGGATTAAATCTTTGATAGGCTGCAGGGATCTTCCAAGTACGGTGATGGTCAGAGACTCATCACTACTCACCATGTTGAAGCCCATTCGTCCGCTCAGAACCTGCTCTTTTTCTCGGGACAGCTTGAAGAAGTTTCCTCTATGACGGAACCAAGAGAACTCATAATGTGGTTCGAATCGCGGAGGGATCTTTGCTTCCCAATTGCTGAAGTTCAAAAGTGTGTCTTGAGAGCTTTTCCCTGATACATCTGCTCGAATATCTTCCTCTGAGTCCCAACTCATGTGGCGTTTGCTTTTGGCGCGCATTGACCGGCTGCTGGTGGCGATGGCCAGCTCGGATACCCAGGCTATGACTTGATCATAGATATCGTCGTGAGAAGGGACGGTAATGGAAGCGGTCATATAAGTCATGAGCAAAGAGTAGGCAAATTTATAGCAGTATACCCAGGCTGTGGTGAGAGTGAATATCAACACACTCAGAGACACAGCAACAGAAACATCAAACCCGGTGATTTGGAAGATGAACCCAGAGATGACCGAGTAACCTGGCAAGAGAGCATCGAGAATGTTATTTGGTAGCTGCGTCAGGTTCACTGGGGCAGAACTGTTCCCTGCTGCCCCTGCTGCCAGTGCATTTGGCAAATTGAAAGACATAGCGAGGAGGCCACAGACGCGTCTCTATCTCTCAAATTTGCACATAAAAGCTTGCAGTAGGCACTCAACCAACTATTTCCAGTATTGGCTCTGTAAGAGAGACGCGTTCGGATAGCTGCTTCTGCTATCTCTGTACCACAGACAGCGTGACAGGGGGGGTAAACAGACAAATAAAGAGTGTGGTGTGATTAAGGAGCCAACAGACAGAGAGATATGGGTATGTTTGCTGTCTTTATATTAGCAGCTAGTGTTCGCTCAGGCCAGCAGCAAGGGAGGGAGGTGGCCTTGCTTGGAGTGAATCTTTAGGTGCT